CTCAATTGAATGGTCTTGCATAAAAGAGATGAACATAATATCGATGAAGAGAGTTAGATATGTGTTTACGGAAGCAAAATTGCTTAATTCTTTTTGGGATGAGACTTTGTACACTATTGTTCTTACTGTTAATCTAACTCTACTATTGCTTTACAGGATGATGTTCCTAATAAGGTATGGTATGGTAGAGATGTTTCCTATGACCACATGTGTATTTGGTTATAAATGTTTTGTACATATCCCTAAAGATGAGAGATCCAAGTTAGATTTTAAGATGAGGTAGTGCATTGAAAAATCGGGGGTGGCATTACATGTATAACAGAAGAACAAAAAATAAAATCATAGATTTTTCATAGAAAATGTTTGATTATCGTGCGAAGATTGATGCGTAAAAATCGTAAAACCAAAAAACTGTGCATATATGAAAGATGTGTTACCTAAGGAGATGGTATTTCCCTTAAATCCTATAGATCTATGGGAGAGAATGAAGAAGGTTAACTATCTTCCTCTATAATGATGATCCACATGGCAGGGGTTGCGAAGATGCTCCTTAAATTACTGCACAATTCTCCTTTTCATGCGCACCACGCAATCAAGAAGGGGTCAGCCCTTCTTATTGTCGACATGCCTTAAATTGAAGTTATTGGCTGAGGAGGAAAGGAAGAAAGGAGTATAAGAGGTGGCAGCCAAAGGAGGTTGAGCCTATGACCTCATAGTTCCCTCTAATTTATAAAGGCCCTATGTCAACTTAACCCTAATGGATCCTACCCTATTGGGTACTATATCTTCATCCAAATACCCAAGCCTCTTGGATTAGTGGATCTCTGCCAAATAATCTTTCATTGGCTCTTATTGAATCTTATTTATAAGATCCAATAATTTAAGGGCTTATTGGATATCCAACAAGATAAGAACTCCAATAGATATCTCATATCCGAACCTCTACTCGTCACACCACCTACCATATGTGTGTGATCCTCTAGGCTCAATATTGTACTGGACATGAGTCATACCTATCAAAACTCCTTCTAACTCAGTGAAATATTATCTCCATAATAATTCACTCGACTCATCGACTACGGACGTACTAGGCCACCACATCATAGTCCCTAGATGATACAAAGGAATCTAATCCATTAGACATATATATCTTTAGTCACTGTGTATCTATAATCTCTCATCTATTTAATATCACAAAGATCATATACTAGGCATGATGCTGTCAAGCCCAAACGGAATCTGCTCGATTCTCGCTCTAATCGGATTCTCTTAGATAACTCTTTTTCCCTCAATCTGAATGACTCTGGTTAGGGATTTTCTTGAGCAAGAATATATATGATATTCCTCTCATGACACCGAAAGTGGATTATTCTCTATCGACACTCAACAGCCCTCGTAAGGTTAGTTGCCACTCTCAATGATCGACTATGTTATATCTAGAACTTCCAAGCCTATAAGTATAATATTAAAGAGTGGAATACTCATACTGGATAGCCTTGGTGTCTTAAGTCTAAGGACCAGATATACTATTGGGATGACAGAATCGCTATTTGACAATGAGGTATCATCAACCATCCAACATTTTGTGAACGGATCGATTAGTGAACTCATTCTCCAATAAGCACCTGCACTGTATCCCTAGTGTTCCCACATGAGCAACTATAAGACTAGTCACCTCCATTATATAGATGAATATACAACACACCAGTTTATCCAGTTATCTCGATGTCCCTCTCGAGTAACCTATGATCAGAACTATTTAGAGTCTATATTTTAAAAGCGAATCAGTCTCATTATCATATCATTACGATCCAATTTTCATTATACAGATCAATGAATATCATAATATATAGAACGAGCAATATAAAGTGAGAAAAATATCAAATAAATAATAAGAAAAAAGAGTACGTATCATCTCATACATGTCATCACTCATATAATTAGCTTACAGGGCACATATGACTAACAATCTTCATTGGGTATGGCGGAGATGAGTTTGGCTATAAATATTATGACTCAATTGAAAAGAAGCTTGTCTGTGATGTGGTTTTTGTAGAGGATCAAACAATTGAAGATATTGGCAATACAAACAGAAAAGGCAGAGCCTCAAAGGAATAATAATTTAATTGATTTAGATCCTACTCCTATGGTTGATTGAAGTGATGTACAAAATCATGATCGATATAATCAAGATGAACATAAAGTCATAGATCAGGTGGATACTCCTATTGATGAAATGGTTGAAAATGAAGTGCCTGGAGTTGCTCACAAAAGGTCTACCAGAGACTGAATGCCTTCCACTCGATACTCACCTAATGATTATATTCTCTTGATAGATGATGAAGAGCCAGAATTACTAAGAGTGAGCAAAAGGACAAATGGCTACTGTAATGAAAGAAGAAATATAGTCTTTATATGACAACCATACCTTCGAATTAGTCAAACTTCCTAAAGACAAAAAAGCCTTGAAGAACTAATGAATTTATAGGGTGAAGCATGAAGAGAATTCATTTAGTCCACGAGAAAAAGCTAGACTAGAGGTTAAATGCTACAGTTAGAAGAAAGACATTGATTTTGGAGATATTTTTTCACCTATGACGAAAATATCCTCAATTTAAGTTATTCTAGGTTTGGTCCCAAATCTTCGATTTGGAAGTTGATCAAATGGATGTAAAAACAACTTCCCATATGGTAACTTAGAAGAGAAAATTTACATAAAGCAATTTGAAGGCTTTGTGATGAAAGAAAAAGAGAATTGTGTTTGTAAATTGAGAAATGACTTGTATGGTTTGAAACAAGTATCTAGACAGTGGTATAAGAAGTTTGAATTTATTATGATTCTACAAGAAGATTACTTCTAACAATTATGTTTTTGTGCATAAATTCTCTAATAATGAATTTGTTATATTATTATTGTATGTTGATGACATACTTATTGTAGGTCCTAACTCATCGAGGATTGATAATTGAAAAAAAGAGTTGAGTAAGTCGTGAAAGACTTAGGGCTAGCCAAGTTTATTCTTGGGATGAAAGTTATTCACGTTAAATAAGTTTTTCAATGTGATTTTTATCTTTGACATTGAATGAGTTTTTCATGTAAAAAATTATCGATATTTTTGTGTGTTTGATTGTAATTTAATTGTTCATTATTCATATATTCAAGATAGTGCTCCTAATATACTCATACAAGTGTGTGAAAAAAAAAAAATCAATTATCTATATTCACATATATATTTTTTATCCGTTTTTCTAAACAGCACACATAATAAAAAAAAACAATTGAGAAAAAGTCAAAAAGGTAAGGTGGAGAAGGGTAATATAGTAATTTCAAATTTTTTTTTCAGTTAAATTGTTGTAAGAAAGGACACATTCTTGCATAGAAAATTTTCTTGCAGTTCAAGCCATATTGTTCTCCATGCTTAGATATGTCTATAGATTTATAAAGCATATCAGAGGATTGCTAAAGCTTCGTGATGTCAACCTTTGCCAAATATTAGCTTTGTGCTTTCCCAAAAACATTTTGCAGATTGAGGTTAATAATTAATAATTCATAGTAACTAATGGTATATTTTAGTCAAACAAAGTAGGATCAGCAAGCAATTACTGGAATATTAGAGGAGTGCCAAATCATGTCAGCAAACAATTCTGTACGTATATATGGTTAGTAGAAGTCCTAAAATTGTGCTTGGACTCGAGCATTTCTTCTTTATGCGTGTGATGCATGCTCCTACATTCTTCTTTTCTTATGATGGTTGGTCATATTGCTTTTACATGCCTCTAGTTTTAGTGCCTTTGGAATTTTTAGGAACGCTCGCTTAGTTCAGTCCAACATTTATGTTATTAGAATGTCTGATTTATTAGAAAGTGTGTTTAGGAAGTATTTGAATACTAACGCTTTCTTTAATAACATCAATGATTGAACATATAAAATAAGAGTTCAAAAAAAGATCCGATTGGACTAATTTAATACAATATACGACAACAAACCTTAATAATTATAATTATTTTAGATAGGTGGGTTATGACAGATGAACCAACCATGGATTTTCTTGTAATTAAAAATTATCAAGGATATAAATATGTATATATTTATTTATTTAATTATTTTGTGCATGGAAGCGAGGATGGCGTGGTTAGCGGCTTAGTGACCGCTATCCAATTTGTGTGGACTGTCCATCACATCTACTGTTGCATCTTAGCCATCCATTAAGGAGAGGCCTCGGGATGTGGGAGGAGCCCACGTTGACAAATTGGCTATTAGGGTTCACTCTTATTTCTTCTTTGACTCTCTCAGTGATAGTTACATATTATATTCCTTTTTTGGGCATATGAGCTGTTCGAATCATCATATGAGCTGTTCCATATCCCAATTTTATGGGGAACACTGATAATTACATATTATATTCGTTTTTTCAGCATATGAGCTGTTCCATGTCCCCAATTTTATGGGGAAAAGAAACTAATGATATGCTATAATATTCTTCTCCCTCCCCCATGGACGACACGCACTTGCTTCTTTAATCGACCACGGAGGAAGCGTTCTCTTCTTGCTTTCCTTTGGTGGATGACGTCGTGTTCTTATCGACAGAGACGCCAGCAGCGTCGTGAGTCAGCCCGCCCTTCTCGGACACGCCACTGTTGGACCGAACCGCCCTTGTAACATTCCAGGAGTGACATGGCAACCTTGCGAAAGCCTTACCTTCCGCTACTTAACTCGTGGGTAAATGGAAACAATTCCACCGCCTGGTCATGCGCCTTCTCGTTGCCCGATCGATTCATCGGGAAAGGGTCAGAATTGGAGTGCGAGGAAGGGAAACGGAGATCAACGGCTTCTTGTTTTTACCCACTTTCGTACATCCGTTTTTGATTCGATGCAGAGATGGAGCCCGCTTGGGTCCACTTTCCATTGCACTCTGAAATTAAATCGTATGGGGAGACTCCTAACGGCTGAGCTTTCCAAAACGGAATTCCCTTTCCCTCTAAGAAACGGCATGTTCAACGTTCGTTCCCTCTCTCACCTTCTATATATGAAATTGGAAGCATCGAGCTCCCACGCGCAACTCAGAGAAGGAGAACACAAATCATACCTCGAGACGACGCCATCGGATGGCAATAGCTACGAAAATCCCCACAAAAATCCCCCGAACCCTCGTCGCCCGATACCTCTCCTCCGCCTCCACCCTCGCCGATCAGCTCCCAGAGGCCCCCTCGCAACCACCGGCCCCGACACTCGACCTCTCCGACACCCGGCAACTATTCGCCTCCGTCCCTACCGCCACCCTCCTCCGGTCCCTCGCCAACCTCTCCACCCTGGCCGCAGGGCCGATCGTCGACCTGGGCGCGGCGGCGCTGCGGGCGGCTGCCGCGGCGCCGGAGGGCCGCCTCCTCCCGGCCGCCGTCCTCGGGGTGGCCCGCGCGACGGTGCACCGCCACTTCTGCGCCGGCGAGGGGTTCGAGGAGGCGGGCCGCGCGGTGGAGGCGATGTGGGCGGAGCAGGGGCTGCGCTCGATCCTGGACTACGGGATGGAGGACGCCGAGGACAGCGCCGCCTGCGACCGCAACCTCGACGGGTTCCTGCGGACGGTCGAGATGGCGTCGTCGCTCCCGCCCATCTCCGTAAGTAGTTTACTTTTGGAACAAGGAATTCATACTTGGTTAATCGTGGAACGACACCTGTTGGTTCCAGACGTTTCAAACGGAGAAGCGTGTTTTGGTAGAACGGAATCTTCGTAGTATAAATTAATTTGGGAAACGCTTCTCTACTTATGGTCGTCAATAATTTGATGGTCGATTCAAATTGAGATGATGGAGATGCTATCGTTTCAAATTCTCATTCAGACCACCTATGAAGTTGTACGTAGTTTTCAACCATTACCGGATCAAGAGGGGTAAAGACCATTGGAGAAGGAAAATAGATTAAAACATGAAGAGAAAAATTCCAGTTGAGTCCAATCACTTTCATCGATCGCATCGTTGAAGTGAAGTTTGAAGTGAACCAATCAAATCCACTAATTGCATTGTCCAATAATTTTTGTTCTTTCGTCTTCGCATAATATACATGATTACTATTGTTCACATCATAATTGCAATGGTTCTACACATAATGGTGCTTCATGTTTATGAAAAAAGAAACTGAAAACCTTCATAATAAATGATAATTCTCTTTCTATTTCCTGCAATACTAGCTTAATTATCTGAGAGATTTAGAGAATACGTTGAATTCAGACATAAGACTCCGAGCAAGTGATAAGTTCCAGTTAGTCTTGTTCAGCTAATTTCAGAGTACCAAAAAAAGATCAAAATACTTGCTGAAATGCCAACTAGCTGATTAATACTCCCAGTGTTCATGTCATGTATTCAAATGAGGATGATTTATAGTTCCAAAGGACTAATGATGCTAACATAGTTTTTATGATCAGGCAAGTGTGTGCGTGAAGATTACAGCAATTTGCCCCATCTCCTTGCTCGAGAGAGCCAGTGATCTATTGAGGTGGAAGCAGAAGGACCCCACATTTCAGCTTCCGTGGAGCACCCATTCATTTCCCATTCTTTGCGACTCCAGCCCTCTCTATCTCACCCCTTCAGTGCCAGATCCTCTGACAGAGACCCAAGAGCTTGATCTCCGATTAGCCCAGCAAAGGCTGTCAAAGATCTGCCATAGGTGCGCAGAAGCTGGTATCCCGTTGGTGATCGATGCAGAATACGCCTCGCTGCAGCCTGCAGTTGATTACTTCACGTACTCAGCAGCAATACAGTTCAATCATGGAGACCAACCTATGGTCTACGGGACAATCCAGGCTTACTTGAGGGACTCCAGGGAGAGGATGGTAAACGCCGTCGAGGCCGCGGAGAGACAGGGGATCCCTCTGGGGATTAAACTAGTGAGAGGCGCTTATCTAACAAGAGAGACCAATCTGGCTTTATCTTTGGGTGTGCCGTCTCCCATCCACGGGAGCATCCAGGAAACACACCAGTGCTTCGACAATTGTGCTGCCTTCTTGCTGGAGAGGGTCAGGAGGGGATCCGGTGCAATCCTGCTTGCCACCCACAACGTTCGATCTGGTAAGTACAGAGAACACACGGAGTTGGAAGTGTAGATCTTGCGTTGATGGTGTACCGCTACTGTGTCACAGGGCAAGCCGCTGCAGCGAAGGCAGAGGAGCTGGGAATCGGAAAGGAAGACCAGAAACTACAGTTTGCACAGCTACTGGGGATGGCGGACGGGCTCTCTCTAGGACTCAAGAATGCAGGTTTCCAGGTGAGCAAGTACGTGCCTTTCGGGCCGGTGGAGCAAGTAATTCCATACCTCCTCAGGAGAGCCGAGGAGAACAGAGGACTCCTTTCCACCTCCACTGTAGACAGACAGCTGATAAGGTTTGTGGACTTGGTTACTTTGTTGGATGTTTCCTACTTCAAACTTGTAACATCGCATTGCTGCATGTACTACAGGAAGGAGCTCATGAGAAGACTTGCAACTGCAGTTGTTGGGCGGACTTGAAATTACACAATTTTTTTTTATTTCTCTTTTTTTTTTAGAAAAAAAGAAAGATGGGGTTATTATCACCCCATGACAAACATGTTACAAAAGTATACTAAGAGAATGTATGAATAGCGTAAGTAATAGAAGATTCGATATTGTTATTTCCTAAGTTGAGTAGTATATGAAGATTTAATTGCAGACACATATGCCTTAAAAGATTGTTGTTTAGAGGTAACCAAATGCTTACAAGCTAACTACTTACTGCAAGATAAGGATTTACATTGATGAGTCAAAGACCAGAAACCAAGATTAGAGCATAGCCAAGACTGCTTTGCGGTATCCCCTCCGTTCACTCCCATCATATTCTCTCCTTCAGTCCCTTGTCTCCTCAATCCTCAAAAACATCACAGCTTTATTTTTCTTCGAGTAACTCTTCCTCCTCTCCCCCGTTTAATCCTTTTAGCCTACGTTTTCGTTCTCCTTTGTCGATCTTCATCGACACATATTGAAGATCGACCATGGTGAGCTCGCTTTTCTGTCCCGAACACGAGATGAAAGAATATGTCAGTAGGTGTTCCTCATTGGGGATTGATCATGTTTTGTGTCGTTTGATATATAAGGCGAATTCTTCGTTGGGGACGGCAGTGAATGACGAGTGCAAGCTCACGTTCTTGTTGCTGAAGGCCTAAGAGGAGCTTCAGGATCATCATCCCCAGGATCGTGGAGAAGCTTGGCCAACCCAAGGAGAGCTACGAAGACTTCACTGCATCGTTGCCGGCTGACGAGTGTGTTGGGTACATGTTCCCTTGATTCAGCATACGGTAGACCTTAATAAACGCACAGCTTATATCAATTATTAAAATCTATTTTTTAATTTTTTTTTGTTTTGATCTATTTTAATTCATGTGGTTTTGATGGCAGACCACTTAGGTCTTTATAGTTTACTCGTATTTAAAATAACCCCTATATTTTTAAAAACGTAGCACGTAAGTTCCTTCCGTCAAGTTTGAGTTGATAGACGTTAGACTCTGCTTACATGGTATGTTGATTCATAATAAACTATTAATGTAATGATACATATAATTTAAATTTAAATAAAAGATCTATTTTAGTCCTTGTGGTTTTAGTCATAGATCACTTTGGCACTTATAGTTTTGTTCGTGTCTAAAATAATCTATATATTTTCAAAAATATAACATTTAAGCCATTCCTATCAAGTCATAGTTAATATATGTTAGAGTTTGAAAAATTGAGATCATCATCAATAGTAGGAGGAGCATCATCGTGGAAGTGACCACTAGCTATAGCATCAAACCGTTGTTTCCTAGTAGGGTATTATTCGCACACAGTCTCTCCCACATTAATAATAACGATGGTCTCTTAGTCCCTCTTCCTCTTTTTGGGCATCTTCATCCCCACCATCTCCCACTTTGTCTTCTCCTATATCCCCAACTATCACGCTTACGTTATGGTGGTCCAACTCCCCTCATCTTTGCCTTTGGCTTCTTCTATCTCTGTCTCTTCTCCTTAGACTATCGCTATGGCATATGTTGCTTCTTCTTCCTCGATAAGATAGATATTTTAAAAAAACTTAAATTATATATGTTATTAATTAATAATTTATTATGAGTCAACATATCACATAAGCAGCCTCTAACATTTGTCAACTCAGACTTGACGAAAGGAGCTTATATGCTATATTTTTAAAAAATATAGATATTATTTTAAACATAAATAAAACCATAAAAACTTAAGTGATCCATGATCAAAACCACAAGGGCTAAAATAGACCCATTTTTTAAATCTAAATTATACGTATTATTATAGTAATAGTTTATTATGAGTCAACATGTCATGTAAGCAAACTCCAATGTTTGTTAACTCAGACTTCACGGGAGGGGCTTATATGCTACATTTTTTAAAATATATGGATTATTTTAGACATGAGTAAACTATAAAGGCTTAAGTGATCAATAACCAAAATCACAAGGGCAAAAATGAGCCTTAACCAATTTTCTTTTAATATAGACTTATGACGATTAGGACAAAAAAAAAGGGGACAGCCGTGGTTGTGGACGTGGCTGGGAGAAACCACAACAATGACAGTTAAGAGCAGAGGACCAAGAGAAGAAAAGAATAGAAAAGAACGTGAACATATTTTAGGCCAATTATGACTTTATATATAAAGCTTAGTTAACTTAAATATGATAATATATCAATTGAACAAGTTATATTAGTATGATATCTAAGGAGGAGTTCCCTCTTCTAAACTTACTAAACTAAGACTACATATGTCATATATAATAAATCATCAAAAGAGTCATATCAAATGTACCATTGCTATAATTTTAAATTAGGATGAGAATTGAAAATATATATATATTCTGATGTAAGTTCTCCCTTGGCCAAGTCGTGATTCCTAAGTGATATCCCTTCATTAGGAAAATTAGATAGATCAAATTAATTTCATTATATTGAGTTGACATTCAAAATTGATCGTATCAAGAGGATAAGGGATCTCTTTGTCTGATCCTTATATGACTTGTAAATCAATTTAGTTTCTTACTATTTATTATAAAAAAAATATATATATAAGTTATCATCCAAGAAATAAAATTGAAGAAGAACTAATGAGATGAATGACCTTATGACATTTCATCAATTCATTAGCAATAAAAATGTTATCATGAACATTACCTTGTTGGACAAAGGTAGATTGTTCTTTAATTAGTAATCTAACTTATCCTTGTTGTCCATTAACTAATACCTTAACTAGGAGCTTGTAAATTATATTATCATTGGATTTGAAGTCTATTATCATATTAAGATTATACACCTTAGATATAAAAACTAACAAAGTTCTACCCGGGTTATTGCTTTGCCTGGCAATAAAAATTAGAAAAAAAAACCTTGCTATACCTTGAGGTTTTCCTATTAACTTTTATAATATTTAACGTTAAATCCATTCAGACTTCTTTCAAAATCCATTTGATTAAGAGCAATATGGATATCCTCAAGAGTAAACTTATGACTGGTTGCATTTCTATCAAAGTTCTTTGAGTTCAAGAGGGAAGAAACATCATTCTCTAATGTAGTTAATAGGAAATGAAGCAATCATAAAGCAATTACAAAAACTATAAAGAATATACTTATTACTAGAGATACAATCCCTATTATGTAACGTATTAACTTAATTTTCTAAAAGTGACCACCTTATGGAAGAAAAAAATGTTCCGATCTCCATGGCATTAATACAATCTTCGTCAGGTAAGAAATTTGTAGACTTTTAAGATTTCATATGAGTTTCTAGCTTTGTATCATCTATCAATGAGAAAGATAATGATTGATATTATTTAACTTATGTAAAACTTTACTAAGGGGTTCATCAAGGAAATATCCTATGCCATACTAGTCATCTCTCTAACCTTAGTAGATTGCAACCAAGAACTTCTAAATCTAAACATCCTACACATGTTTTCTTTTAGAGTTGCCAACCCTAATTAATAAGAGAGTATGGTGAACCATAAATTGATCATATAAGAATAGTTAACTAAGACATTGTCAAATCTAGTTAACACTCGAAATTTACTAAGATGATTGGTGCACTAAGTATATTTGCTATCATCATAGTAAGATCAGACATCGAATAAAAAATCTAAAAAAATCATGATAGATTGAGATAATAGGAAAATGCCCTCACTTTATCTCAATTAAGTAAACTACATAGATCACTATAAAAATAACCTATGGAGCCTACAATCTCCAAGACTAAATATTGAACCCGAAAATTTTTTTTATATGTAAGCAAAGTTCATAGTGTAAATAGTAAAAAAATTTCTTACTTGACTCTACTATTATTAGGTTTGAACTTAAGAACTTTTATTGACCATATATGCTTTGAAGTTGTACTTGTACTAAGATACCAAGATTTGATCGGATCTCTTATTTGTTGTTAGAATTTACTCTTTTAGTCTCAACCTAGTTTTTTTTTTATGCACCACATGTTATCCTCCAACAAGTAAGTCTCCATATTCTATGATAGAAGAATCATGATAAATATAAAAAAAATTATTGAGGTTTTTGGGAGTTTAACGTAGCCTTGCGCAAGACCTCCTCAACTTTGTGAGTCTTCTTCTTCTTCTTCCTCTTCCTTCTTCTTCTTCTTCTTCTTTTTTCTTCTTCTTTGTATGACAAATAAAAAAACAAGTAGAGATTTTATTTTTCTTCTTGTTTGCATGGCAAATAAAAACACAAGTAGAGATTTTAAACCTTCTTGGTAAGATGCTCATGTGGTTGGGTGGATCTCTTTAGAAACAAGATTGATGACTCATAAGAGATCTTCATTTATTATTCTTTGAAATGCCTCCATCTTGTTCACCAACTCATCAAGAGTAAAGCCACACCAACTAAAACTTGGTTATCATCCGTAGTTGAGAGCTTAAACCTATTCGTAATAAAACCTAGAATTAGCCTAAAGGAAATTTGATATAAAAGTATTGGGTTGAAGAAATTCAAGTGACAAGCTCAAAAATTGAATCTAAGTGGAGCAATCTCAACCCCCTCTCTTAGGGGTTAGAAGTTGACTAGTCACAAAAGTAAATTCAAAGGACTAGCATTTGATTAACTAAGGGTCCCCAATAATCACTTCAGGGTGGACTCAAAGAGATATGAAAGCAAAACAAACTAACTATAAGATCAATTATTTACACTCTAATATATGTTTTCCAAAACTTGGTTATTTAAGAATTTTTAATGAAAATTTTTTATAAGGAGAATGCATCCCTTGGTGTAAACTTACAACGAGTGAAGCTAACAAAATCTCCTTTCTTTTTTCACATATAAACTATTTATCTTAGCATCCATAAGGTAAGCTAGCTTAAAATCCATATTATTGGAGTGAAAAAGGATAAAGAAAAGTTTGAGAAAAAGTCATAAAAAAATCACACATCTAAAAACGGGTCATCTCCTATCCGTTAGTCGCTCTATTTTAGATATTTTCTAAAAAAAGAATATTTTAGATATTATGATTTTTTTAGATATTAGTTTTAATATAACATTTATATTCGTTAGCTTGAATTTAAAAATAAATAAATTATGACTAAATATAGTTAATATTAACTAATTAAATTAAAAAGATATATATATATATATATACATATCTAAATTATTTTTAACATTTTTTTATAATTATGATGAGGTTATATAAGATAATAATAATAATAATAATAAAGGGTAAATATGTTAAAAATAAAATTCTTCATTTGATATATATATATATATATATATAGGTTAAATAAATGTTTGAGCAGCTTATTCCACGCTCGTCGGCTTTGCGGTCCGGTCGTAGTTGTACACCGCGTTACGGTCTCTCTCTCTCTCCTCGACTTGCCTTGTATCTATCGATCTATCTATAAATACACACCCGCAAGAAGAAATCGTTGAATCCGTCCCTTCACCATCCCTCTCTCCTCTT